TGTCCAAGGCTCAATAGATTACCTAGGCCTGAACTCTTGGGGAAGGGTCTAGGCCCTGCCCTATATGAAATGACAGACTATGGACACCCCCATGGAGGGCCTCACCCTCCCTGGGGGAATGAGGGGATAACGGGGGGGGAGGGCACGGGAGGAGGGGAGGGAAAGGGAGAGGGACCTCGTACTGACTTGTGAAGCAACCTTGTTTCTTATCTAAATTTAAAATGGAAAATAAAAAAAAATATTAATAAAAAAAAAGAAATGACCTGGGAAGGAGCAACATGAGGGGAGGGTATAAAAACATGTGTTTTTTCTTTTTCCATTATTTACATTTTTATTTCATTTTACATTCCAACCACAGTTCTTCTTCCCATCCCCCCACCTTCTCCCATGAAAATATGTTTAATGGTAGGAAAATATGTTTGCAATCTATGGCTTTTATTGTGTTATGCAATTCTCTCCTTTACAACTGATGTTATTTTAATTTATGAAGAAATGAGTCACCTGTGGAGAGGATGTGCCAGATATTTTTTGGCATAGACACTTTTACCATAGGAATGTTTGAGTGGGAGGTGTCAGGTTAAAAGTGATTTGTGTTAGGTTACTAAGAATGGGAGGGGAGAATTGCTTGCTATGCAAGCATGGAATCTGAGCTCCAATCTCAGAATTCAAGTAAAAATACTGAATGTGATACCCAACACTTGTAACTTCAGCTGGGGGAAAATGGAGACAGGAGAACTCTGGTTTTCAGTATCAAAGGAGAACTAGAATTGTCCTCAGGCACACACACACACACACACACACACACACACACACACACACACACACTAGCAATAGCAGCAGCAAAACAAAGAGCTCAATAACTGGGCCACTTAAAGACTGAAAGACCACAGACAAATATTGAAAAAAAAAGTCTCCCTTTCAGAACTGTGAAAATCAGAAATCAGACAAGAACTCACAGCAATTCAAAGAACAGGTATTTAACAATACACCCACAAGATATACCCACTGGTGCCATAGTGACACAAATATTGTAAGTATAACAAACTACTATATTTTTATTGGTTTTAAGGACTTCATGAGATAGCATCCATATCTGACACTGCTAATAAGGGCAAGTACCTGGGATTAGTTAGGTCATGAACCCAGGGGAAACATACTACTATTATTCTGTTAAATAAACGTGGCAACAAGATGACTCCTAATGACTTACTGCTATACCCATAAACGGGTGCATCACTTAACCCTCATCAGAGAAGCTTGTTTTCTTTCAGTAGAGAGTAATTCCTACAGAGACCTACAAATGGTCACTGTTGAAAGAGTAGGAGACTTTGAAGCCCTCAACGCCAAATTAATTAATTATCACACCCCTTCTTCAGTGTTCAGGGACCCAAGCTGAACAAGGTATGGAAAGAATGGAAGAACCAGAGGTTGTGGACAGCTTCAAGGAAACCATGTTTCCAGGACACACTGTTGCAGGTTTACATATGAACTGCCAGAGCCTGTGGCCAAAACAAGACCTTCACAAGATCAAACAAGACATGGAGGAAGGGAAGTGGTCACAGAGTCCCACTTTAAGAAGAAGCTACTGACAGGTGCAGAGAGAGCTGAAATCAGTTTGCTTCAATGGAGGGACACTAGTATTTCCAGGGCCGGCCTCATGCTTAGTAATAGTTGACTAACATAAAATGGATGCCATGTTTTCTGGTATGTGTTCTTTTTGTTATTGTTTTAAGAGAGAAAGCACATGATATCAGTGTTGGTGTGGCAGGATCTGGGAGAAGTTGGATGGGGAAATAGTACAATCAAAATATATAAAGTTCTTTAAAATTAAAAAGACACAGTATTTGATCTCCATAAGAATAGATTTTTGTCATTTTACCTCATTTTATTTTCCCCCCTTTCTTTCTAATTCCAAGGCAGTGTTGAAATACAGTAATAGTAGCTATAATATCCAGCAGTCAACAGAAAAGGCAAATAGATCTGAAGCTCCTCGACGAAGATTCTATGTCCTAAGCACTGCCACTATTTGGTAGCCCAATGATGCTGTAGAAAAATCCTTTATAAATTTTTTTGTGGATTTGTCATTATTTGATACTACATGAAGATTACTCACTGGGTAAAGCCATATTCCAAGGATATTAATTAGTACACAGTAATTAGTGGCACATGTGCAAGACTCCAGCTTCCTGGTGTGGTGCTCTCAGCTGCACCAAACAAGAGCTTCCTCCAAACTAGGAAAATCTAAGAGTGAGATGTGTGTTGAGTCTGAGGCTCTTGTAGTTCCTGGGCAACGATCTATAAGACAACATGCGTGTGTGCCAGAGTATGGCTTCCTGGAAAGGTCTTGAGGGATTCAGCATATCTCATGTCTCTCACCTGGTTAAGATATTAACACTGGAAGTAGTGAATGAGGCAGAACTGGAAATTTCCAAGCAAAACGTGCTTCATTCAACACTCTCACAGTCATTCAGCAAAGGCACACTAACTGTTCAAAATGTGCTTTGACTGCTCACTAAGTTATCAAGTAGAGGATATAGGTACTGAATGCAGGGAGGAATAGAGGCTTTACAGGATTTGTCCCCAAAAAAGTCATCAAGGAAACAAAAAGCAGCTGAAACTGCATCTACAACAGATAGCAACAACAACTAAAAATGCAGGAATCAGAGTTAGCACCTTGGAACTTTGAATGAGCTATCCCCCCACAAGTCTTGGTCATTTGAGTACTAGGTCCCTATTTGGCTGTTTACAGAAGGTTAGGATGTGTGGCCATTGGGATCTAGCTTTAAGGTTTCAGTCTGCCTGCTGCCATGCTCCCCACTGTGGTGGTGAAGGACTCTTACCTTTTAGAACTAGAAGCCTAAAATAAACTCTGCCTTTCAAAAGGTGCTTTTCCATGGTGCTTTTTCCCAGGATAGATACATAACCAAGACACTACATTATAATATTTTCTATGACCAATGCTCAATAATTATCACACATGCAGATAAACAAGAAAGTATGGGCCACAGATAAGAAAAAGGTCCCAGTAGAAGCTTTCTGACAAAGCCTACAAAAAGACTTTAAAATGATTATTAAAATATTGTCTAAAGTTAAAAGAAATGACGTTTTAATTAGAAGAAAGAATGAGGAAAAACTCTCTCAACAATAAAGAAATAATAATTATAAAAATAAGAACCAATAGAATTTCAGAGCTTAGAATCTGAAAGTTGTCTAGAAGTTGTCTCAGTTAGTGTTGTTATCAGAGATTCAGGAATGAAACACTCATCACAAGAGTTCAACCACAGGTTAAAGTGGCAAGAAGAGAGAGTAAAAAAACAAAACAAAACAAAACAAAAAACCCTCAAAAGTATATCAGCTGAAATTATTCAGGCATAGAACAATAAGGAAAAAATAAGAAATGAGCACAGTTTCAAAATCCCAAAGCCACATGTAATCAAAATAAGTAAGTTGGAATTCAATAAATGGGAAAAATGTACCTCAAGGATATCATAACAAAGTTATAATTTAAATTGCACAATGGAAAAATATTTGCAAATCATTTATCTGACAACAAACTTACCTTAGAATATGAAAATAACATAACAAAACAATAAAAATGCAAACAGACTTAAAAACAGGTAGAATATTGAGATGAATAATAGGTAAAGATACATTGGAGGTCAGAGAGATGCAATTTACAATCACAATGCCATACAAGGTCAGCCTATTAGGAGAGCTACAATGGGAGAGGAGGTGGGGAGAAACTGCAAATTGTAGGGGAAGGGAAACTGTAATAAGAATGTATTGCATGAAAAAAGTCAATTTTCACCGAAAACAATGTAAAAGAAGACAATCACAAATGTAGATAAGAATGTAGTGAAACTGAACCCCTCATGTACAGCTACTGTAGATTTAAATGGTGCAGTTGCTATATAAAACAGCTTATATACGCTTTCATATATGTAAATTTATGATATATATGTATGTTCATGCATATTATATACACACACAAATATATACATATAAATATATATACACACATATGTATGTGTGTCACAGCAATGACAGTCCTAGTCATATAGTCAAGAGGAATAAATACTCAAATGGAATAAGAACATAACCATGTCCAAAATAACATCCGTAATAAATAATAACTCTAGTAAAGAAAAAAACTCAAATGTCCATCTACTGAAGAACAAAATATGGGATATCATACCTAGGTAATTGGAAATTTCCAGCAAGTAAGTAGTAATGAAGAGGAGACACATAGATGAGCCTTCAGACTTGATCTTAAGTGGGAAAAGCCAAACAAAAGGTGCCCTTTTGTCTGACTCCATTGGTAACTACGATGTACAATGGGTAAATCCAGAGACTGGAAGCTAGCACACCCAGGGCCTCAGTATCACAAATATGCAACTATACTGAAAACAAGCACACTGAGCCATGAACTTTCAAATGACAAATTAAAGGCAAAAGTTATACTTCAATATTGTTGCTAAGACAAATTTTGTATTTTTATTAACAGTTAAGTTCTATAGTATATTTTTAAGCACAATGCTACTGAAAGTACATTGCATTCTGTTTCTACTCTTTAATGAAGAAATAATTGGGTCTGGAGAAATGGCTCAGGAGTTAAGAGTGTTGATTATTCTTCCTGAGGACCTGATTCTCAGCACCAACACGGCAGCTCACAACTGTTTGCAACTCTAGTCTTAGGGGATATGACACCTTCTCCTAGCCTCTGAAGACTGCATGTATGTGGTGAACAGAATACAGGCAAACTACTCATACACATAAAATAAAATATATAAAAATCTCGAAAAAGAAAGAACACTGAATTAACAAAACAGGGACAAGTATGGGCTAAGACTACAAAGATATGGAAAGAAAAAAGTGTGACTATACTACAGAAGCAATCTTATTGTAAACACATTTATCCCTCTCCTTTGTATTCTAGAGACAACAGAAGTCTAAATGCCAAACATAATGACTTTTTTGATGAATAGAATAACTTTACTAACCTGCTCTCTGAAAATTCTGAAAAATCACTCTGAAGTTCAAACTTGCACAGAACTTCTCCAATTAGATAGCCATTAGAAAATGCCTTTGCAAATGACTTGGGACCTGAATTTTAAAACATTGAAATAGAATAGTTAATTTTTGTGTGATGTATGTAATCAAACCAATATAACTGAGCATGAACACACCATGTCCTGAATATATTCATAGAAACATCTTCTAATAAACAATGTAAAAGATTTAACAATAGACATCAAGTTCCCCAAAGACAAACTAGTAGCTGATGGTAAACAAAATTTTAAAAGCAGAAAATCTTTTTTAATTAATGTTAAACAAAACACAATACAATTAATAAATAACCTTAATCTAAAGCAAGTATTAAGTTAACCTATGAAACTATCCTCTAAATAGTTAAGCAATGTCTCCAACCTATAGGGATAGCATATTCTGTCCAGTAGAGATGGAATCATTTTTTAAATCTAGATTTAATTTTAACTTTTAATGGGAAATGTACTAAGATCATCTACACTCATAAATAATCCTTATTAAACACAATGGGGATCTTATGTCATGGTTCATACAGGTCACCACTGCCCAGTTTATGCACAATGGAATGATGATAATATCTCAGAACAGAGAGTTCTCAAAAGGAAGATGGCTAAGGGATATTTTTAAAAGAATTCAACATCCTTAGTGATGAGTGTAATGCAAATTACAACAACTTTGAGATTTCATCTTTCTGCAGTCAGAATGTTTAAGGTCAGTCAACAAAACAAGTGACACCATGCTGATGGGGAGAGGTGAACCCTTAGTCACTGTTTGTGAGACTGCAGTTGGTGCAGCCACTAGATTAATGGTGTGAAGAATTCTCAAAAGCTCAAGGATTTGTCTACCATATGACCTAGCTATACCTGGTGTATTATAGCATACTGCATATATGTCATATTCTGTGAGGACTCTACATTTTATTCCACAGATACTTTGTCAATAGCCATATTCATTTTCAGTCTATTCACAAGAGGCTAGGAAATGGAAACCACCTAAGTGTCCTTCAAATGATGAATGGATGATAAAAATATGGTGCCTGTAGATAATTCCATTAGGCTGTAGAGAAAATTGAAATCATGGGATTTGTGGGTAAATGGATGAAATTGGAAACTATTAAATGGAGGTAAGCCAGACACAGAAAGGCAAATATCACATGTTCTCAATTATTCTTTCTTTAAAAATGTCCCTATGTATGGCTGCAAAGAGGGTGGTAGTAAGGGAATGAGGTGAGCTGCTCTCAAAGGCCTCAGTCATGGGAGTCTATGTTTTCTCATCTGATCCAATCACACAGTTTTTTTTATAACAGTTTCTTGATGCTTGTTCTCATAGTACTAAACCTACATAATATTCCAACTTGATAATACCTGTTCTTTATGTACATTTCCTCTAAAGTGACAAGTCTGGCACTCATTTGTGGTCTTAAGTAAGCTTGCTCTCAAGAGATCTGTTTGATCATCATTCAAAGTTGATAGGTTTCGATTCCTAATCAGTCATACCTGTCCTTGAGAAATAGTCCTTAAAGACTAGCACCTCTAGAAAGACAATTCATAATTCATAGTACATTTTACATCCATGAAATAAGCTTGATCTTCATAACCAAGATATCCACTGTCTTTAACATGGCACCACTTGTGATGTCATCAAAGAACCTTGTGATGATTGGCATGATCTTTCATTAAGTTGAAGAAACACCTGATATGATTCTTCAGTTATCTAAAGCTAAAAAAATCCCGAAGACTCTTTCCTCCATAGGACAGAACCGTGCTATCATTTCCTCCTATACTACTGTTACTTTCTATGCCCATGGAGATCTCCTGATTCACACCAGAGCTGTTCCCTGGTCTGGCTGCCACCACTATCCTCAATGGTCATTCTGTCTCTACCACTAATTGCATCTTTCCTTTCAGTTTCCTCACTAGCCTCTTATGTAACCCATCCATATTCTCTTAGTTCTAATACGCCATCTGATCCAGAGCCATTGTCAGACTGTAGACATATCTCTTTTCCATGGCCTAGCTCTTTGGGGTTTGGGTTTAATGTTTAAGCATACAGCTTTCTGTTCAGAAGCAGCTGCTCTGTCTCCTTCCCTGACTGCTGCCCTTGGTAGCTTGCCCTGTGCCTGTTCATGCCAATCCCATGTCTGGACTTCAGCCCATGAATAACTAAGATATAGATTAATACTATCCTGTCACCCTTGATATGGCAGATAAATGGTCAGTGGCAAAGTATTTGCTACAAATAAGATTTGCTTAAAAATAAACTCATAATCCATTTCCTTTGAAATGGCATAGAATATTAATTATGCAACTCCAATGTAGATAAAAATAGGAGTCTTTATGGCATAAAGTCAAAGAAGGAATAGTCTGGTATTTATTTTACTGTCAGAGTAGTTCATAATAAAATAATAAAAATCATTGGTCAGCAGGATTTTATGCATAAAGACTTCAGATTTACTGTGTGCTAGATCAGCAAGGATTACACTGAGAAAAATATGTTAAATGGTAAGAGCAACAAAGAGGGTACAAAATGGAAAAAAACAGGGAAGAATACATGGAAACAATGAGGAGTCGAAGAAAGTGAAAGAAAAAAGCATGGACATTAGGGATATGCAGATTCAAAGGGTACAATGCCATATCAATTTATTCTACATTGTTCCTTCTTGACCTACATATCCCTACACATTAACAAACATCACAAGCCACAAAGAAAGGGAGGAACACAAGCAAAGGAACACATTCAGGGAGATGCTTAGGAAAAAAAAACAGGAAAGCCTTTCTCTTTTTAGTTTTACCATTTTTTTCTTCCCACTCAATATCGCTAAGCAGTATGGCTAATTCCATAGTGACCACCTCCATGAATTAATTGTACTGCTCGCTGTCATTTCTAATGTGAAGAAGCAACGAGTTTACTTCAGGACCATGAACAGCAAGTAGTGTAAGAAATGTGGGAGGGACACTACTCATCTTTAACACAGACTAATTTTCATCTTGGATTGAGGTTGTTTAGCAGAAACTCAGCCCATATACAACCTTGCAAGCCATAGGTCAGGTGCTCATTACTGAAACTGACATTTGATAAATTCTTTAATGTCATCCTCTGTGATAGGTCTGCTACGCTCCAGCAGCAGGTGAATACTTTTCCAGAGAGTTTTTCCATGTCCAGAAAGCAAACACTTGACACTGCCCTGAACCTCAGAGGTGAGCTCATCCTTAAAGCCAGGTAGAATGTTAACACCTTCATCATTCTGGCCAATCATCTAGAATCAGATGATTTGTACAGAAAAATATTGAATAGTTTTCATTCAATGAGATAAATAAACACTAAACAGTCTCACAATACTTCCTGTTAGATATTTCAACCAAAGGACAAATCTTAAAGAATTCTGTCTTACAGACTGTAGATAAAAGACTGAAACCCATGTCACTTTATGCTCATTGGCATTTGCTCCATATTGACAGGAGGAAAGGTCCTGTCTACATCTCAAGTGCATATTTGAAACTCAAGCAAATTATTTTCCTCTGAAAGAGATAAAGGTCATTGCTGGCAGCTGTAAAGTGCTGTTTCTAAGAGACCTTCGCATTCCTCAGTACTCATGGAAAGACCTTGGCCTTCTTGTGTTGAGCATAACCAATTTCATAGCACACTAACTGCTGATGAGGCTGGTTTGTGGTCCCAGTGGATCAAACAATAAATCCCCTGTAATTATGTTTGAGGTCAGACAAAACCAAGAGGCTGTCCAGAATGTTCATGGGAGTCAACATATCCTAATCTGGCTCATATTAGTGACAGATACCCCCTAATTTGGCTAGTATCAGTGATAGACACCCTTTAATCCGGCTAGTATGATTAGTGATGGCTATTTTCTCTCTAATCATTACTCTGTCCTGCTTGCTTCTCCCTGTTGTTAGGTATGCCAGCAAGAAATAGAATCAGAGAATTTCCTAGTTTCTGAGAGGATCTCAGGCTAAAATACTGTTTCCAAGAACCCTCCTCAACAGCACCCACTAGGAGCCCAAGTCCTTCCTAACACCCTCACAGAGAGGCTGCACATATTCTCACCTTGAAACCACTCAATAACCCTTCTTCAGCCAGCTGCAAATGTGTCCTGTGGCTTTTGCCTGGAGTACCTTGACCATTTTCTCTTCAGATGACTAGGATTGTTGACTTCTACATTTTCTCCACTGAAGGAGGGGTTTATTAGAATTTCAAAGTTTATATTGGAAATGAAATCTTAATTTCTATGTCATAGAATTTCAATTATGAAAATGCTTGGTATCATTATTTTCATGAAACTCTGATCTTAAAACATTAGTTCTGGCCGGGTGTTGGTGGTGCACGCCTTTAATCCCAGCACTTGGGAAGCAGAGGCAGGCAGATCTCTGTGAGTTCAAGGCCAGCCTTGTCTATAGAGCGAGTTCCAGTACAGCCTCCAAAACAATACACAGAAACCCTGTCTCGAAAAACCAAAACCAAAACAAAACAAAAAAACATTAGTTCTGGTTTACACCGTGCTGACTAGTGTTACACTTCGTATATTAATTCCCAGTGACTAGATTCTGTGTTTTAATAAAGAAAAATGCTGTGTAGTAGGTAGAAAACACATATATATTATTTTCTACCAGAAGCAATATGGTTTTTAATGATCTTGTAGCTGAAATATCAGAAAATGCATGGTTTGATGGCACTTTGTAAAAGAGGAAGGAATCTAGAGAAAGCCAGTTTAATGTTAGCTATGCAACCATAAACCAAGCTCTAATCAGACATGACTTAATTTATGGATTAATACACCAAAGAAGAACTAAATGATTTGTTGTTGTCTTTCAGTTTATGTTACCATAGCAGAAAAACACAAAATATTTACATAAAGTCTTTTCTCACATTTCTGAAACTGGGGAAATTCAGTACCAAGGTGTCAGAGCCTGGAAAAGGGCTTCTGGCTGCATCCCAACATGGTACTGGGTGCAAATGTGTGTGAGTACGTAATGTGGACACAGGTAGAGACCAAAGTTAGACCCTCATCAGGATCCCACCCCAACAACAGTTAACCCTGCAACAGC